AGCAGAGCCACAGATGTACTAATTGGGTCTCCACATTTTAAGTGGCAATTATGCATACAGTAAAAGCTTTGTTACCAGGCTGTTGATTATCCTGAACACTCAGTGAAGCAGCATCACCCGAGACCAAGCTCCTCCCCCTCAGTCACCATACCCCAGCGTCTTGGGTCATGTGCATCCCCCACTCAAACCTCTCCAGCTGGCCAGCTTGAAGTCTCCCATCTGTTGCTGAGCTTCTGACAGGCAGCTCTGCCAGCTGACCTCATCCTTGGGTGCCTGCTTCCCTCAAGCTGTTGGGAGCCAGTTCCTGGGAAGCTGGCCCACTCATCGACCTGATGTCTAGGGTGACCCCGTTGCTTGAGGGAGAAGAAAATGTCCTTTGGGTAGAGGGCAGAATAGAGCAATAAGCTCAACTATCTTTTGCCTCTGATCAATTGACAGTTCCCATTCCCTGCAAATGCTGGAGAGCAATGCGTTTACTGTGTTCCTGTTATGCCAACACAGCAGTGCCTTAAACACTTATGGACACAGATGCGGGTGCTTGAGGTCACATCTGTCACTCACACTTTATGTGTTTGCTGCGGGAAACCCCAGTGTCATGCTGGTGACCTGTGGCAATCGCAGTTTGCAGGGGACCCCCATAGTACAATTCCCCGTATTGCTTTCACAACAGCCTTATCTAGCAGTCTAGCTTAACACCACACAAAACAATTGCAATTTCAGGGCTGAAAGAATCAGGGAAGGAGATCTCTTCCATGGGTGGGATCTTCTTCAGGGAAGGGAAATGGCTTACTAGTAGGGGATCGGCTTTGCAAGCCAGTCCCTGGCACCTCCAGGTAAAAAGACCGGGCAGTAAGCAATGCAAAAGACCTCTGCCTGAGACCCTGGAGAGATGCTGCCAGTCAGAGTAGACAAGACTGACCCTGATAAACTCAGTACAAGGCAGCTTCCTCTGTTTGAAGCATTTGTTTGGTTGGCAGGAATCTGACACGGTCAACCATCAGCTGCTGACCCACCGTCTCACCGACGTGGGGATACAGAGGCATGCCCTTCAATGGTTCACCTCTTTTCTCCAAGGTCGGGGACAAAGGGTGGTGCTAGGGGAACAGCAGTCCCGAAGGCACCCGCTTGAATGTGGTGTGCCCCAGGGGGCTGTGCTTTCCCCAATGTTGTTTAACATCTATATGCACCCCCTTGCCCAGTATAAGATCTTGCTACAGTATTGCAATGGGGTTGGGGCCGTTGAAGCGGGCTTTGGGTACATCTATAGGTCACCATCTGAGTCGATCTGAGTTGATTGATTTGATCAAATTGGTAACATAATTGAGCACTTTATCATTGTTAACTATGGTTGATTTTATGCTGTTTGTAATGTTTTATGTGGCACATGTTGCCCTTATTTGGAAGCCGCCCTGAGCCCGTTCGCGGGGAGGGCGGGATATAAGTGTAACAATAAGGAAGGGATTGTGTGTTTTGTCCTGTCCCTCGTCTGCGTTGAATGTCATGTATTGCTGATTGTGACCAGCAGACGGCAGTGGTGCTGTTTTCAGCTTCATTGGCTCTTTTATTGTAATAATGATTGGGAAATATGCTTCTTTCTATGTATCTCCCTTCTTTCTCTTAAAGTATTGCCGTTTTCCCACCTGGGCACAAGAACAAAGAACTGCTCTGTGCAGGTTATTCTGCATGCCAGACTTTTTATCTCAACCAAACCAGAGTCTTCCCTTTTCCTTTCTTTTTTTTTTTTAAATGGATTCAATAGATTGTCACCCAGAGGTGAGGGAGCTGAACCTCTCCAGGGAACGCTCATGCCCACCAATTTTGCTGGGAGTTCCATGGTTGCCATGGCAGTGTCTCGGTGCCTCTTGAACTCCTCTCACACACTCTCTCAGGTCCTCCCTCCCACCCGCTCGGAGCTCCCCGGCATGGCAGGATGCCAGATGGTGCCCCATTAGGTCACATTTGCTTATTGTTTGGTAAACAGCAGTTTCATTCAAGTGCTGAGTTGACAGCTCATCCTCAAAGACAATTTCCGCATTGCAATGTTGCAAATGCCAGCTTGGCTTTCCGGTAGAATGTTATTTCAACTGCCTTAAAGGGATAACGTTCCCTTTGATTAAAAAAAGGAAGCAGGAGGGGGGAGCCCAGGGGAATCCAACTGCTCCTTGGTTGTTGTTGTTGTTGTTTTTAATGTCGCCAGCCTGCCTGCATGAAGCAGCACGGGCGGGTGGGCTTGGGATCTTCCAGGCACTGTCGGCCTCGCCTGGGGACCTTTTTGCATTTCCCAGCCTGGAATGCCAACCTTCCCAGTGAACCTGCCTCTGTCTGTTCCTCACTTGGCAGTGATTTCAAGGATATGTGTGTGTCAGGAACTTCCCACCCGGATTCTCCTGATCTATGAACTGGTGTCCTTTGCTATGACCCACATAAGACTGCCTCCTGAAGGACCAGATCCTAGAGAGATCTTATCAGGATCCTCCTTAAGCCACCATGAGCTTCACAGTGACTAGGAATGCAATAAACACAAATCCGGGCATGTGGAAGTAATTTGAATGAAGAGCATCCTTGACCCCTAGATGATTGCTGTCCAGGTAATGGGCCTTCGCAGTCGTCCTAGTACCTTTTAACTGGAGCTGCTCGGGATTGGCTCTGAGACCTTCTGAATGCAAAGCTGTCTGAAGTAGCCCCGCTCCAAAAGTGATTTAGCGATCGTGTTTCTGAAATACCAAAATCCTACATGCTCATGCGCACATTCCTTAGATAACAAATAACAGTTGGCAGCCGCCCGCTGCACTGCCAGTAACAACAGGTTATATAACTAGGTTAAGGACGAGTCAATTAAACAAGGCCTCATTCAGTTAGAACAGATGGATGAACTTTCTAAGATAGCGGAGTTGGAGTCCATGTTACAGATGGTCTCAACCCCAGGAGATAGTTTAGCGACATCTTCTACCATTTACACATTCCACTTCCATGCTGTCTGCAGATCCAGCCATCTGCAGCCAAGCACAAGGTGTTTGTCATGGTGAAAATTCCCGGGAGGACGAAGCTCGGAGGCGTTGATCTGGGGTTGATAGTACCAAAAGTGGTTTATACCACTGTGTATACCCTTGAGGGTATCCTGAGGTCTGTATGGATACACAACATGTTTTTTTAGAAAGGCCTACGTGTCGCTTGTAAAGTATTTCCAGACTCCCATAACACTGCTCTTTCTCGAAGAAGCAGTTTGCACTGAGCATATTGTACTCCCCCAATGCAAACCAACAGAGCCTTTGATGCTTTTGTACCTACCATGAAAAGTCTGAAAAGCAATCAGTATGCTGGCTTTTGGCTTACTGTGGTTGAGTCTGTTCATACACACAAACACATACCTTGATGATGTCCCATCAACTGATCTCTCGGTATTTGATGACTGGTAGCTGAACATGTCAACTGAGTCCAGTGAGCATCACATCTAGAAAGCTGTTTTGGCTGGATCACTGTTGAATGGTGCTACTATCCACTGGTCGACACGTATGTCTGGATCTGCCCTCACCTAGGGCTTAGCTACAGTGCAAGAAGTCACACTTGGAGCCTGTACTGTGTTTCCTCAGTCTGTGTATCCCCTCTCTTTGGCTTGCTGAAGACTAAATTCTACCTAGCAGACTAGGGCTATATTTCTGGCCATATTTATCTCTATTAGATGCTAGCAGGGGCGTTTTGCAGTCAAAACCACTACCCAGTAGCCTCTAGAGTGATTGTGGGGGGAGTCTTGCCCTTACCATAAGTACTTGGATATGGTGGATTTGGAGGCAACTTAGTCTGCAGGGAGCAAGGGCACAGTTGCTACTAATTCCCTCTGGTACAAGTAACTAACTAGTCAACTTCCGCTGGTGTGAATTGAGGTAGACCTTACCTGTAACGTCACCTCATGATATTGACTGGAAAGGGCAAATTCTCTCTGTCTTGCTGGCCATTGCTGCCTGCAACTTACCCTGCCCCCCAAGGGATTTCTCCATTGCATCCTCAGAATAGTCCAGATGACTAGACCAGAGTTTCCCACTGTGCAATTCTAAGCAGAGTTGCACCTTAAAGTCAGTGGCCTTAGAAGACCATAACTCTGCCAGCACAGCCATGCCAGTCAATTCAATGGCTGAGAGAGAAGTGTGGAGGCCCAGCCTCCCTAATCCACAGCCAACAGGCTACCCCCTACCTCCGTATCACCTTGGCTCATTTGCTGCTAAATAGCAATGGCAGATGAAGCACTCCTCGGCTGCTTTCCCTGGGGATCAGTGCAAAATTACAAGCTGTGTTGGGAGCTGCTAAAGAAATGTTGGGGCTGGGTTGCTCACATAGGGTTGGATCCAGACTAAATTTCCCACTAACAGGAGGGTAGGTGTAATTTCCACCCATTCCCTTTTCATGCTGAACCCCCCCTGATTTGTTCTTCATACCATTCCTGAAGGTCTGTTCCCCAAGAGGAGCCCAGGAGCAGCATTTAGGGGAGATCAATGGGAAAGAGGGAGGGAGGAAATTTCTGTTCCATTGACGGGAGTGCCTTCTATCAGTGCCTTCTGTCAGTGGAAAACTGAGACTGGAGCCAACTCATGAGGGTTGCTTCCCCTGGTAAAGTGTTTGCATACAATCTCTTATTTTCTCTGCATATCTATCTGCTGTGACCACCAATAGTAAAGTTACTATTGTGTTTTAATATTTTAACTGTATTTATTGTATTGCTATTATGAGCCTACTTGTGGAAAGGGCAGAGTATAAATATGATAGACAGACAGACAATCCAAAAGTATTTGGTGACATGGAGAAAATTGCTAAAGGAGGTATTTATGTGGGTGCCACACTGCAGTTTACGTACACCATAACAGGGACCAAAATCAGGATTAGTCCCTTGGATTCTTGCTTTTCACCATCGCCCTTTCTATGTCTCAATCTCCTAAAAGCACATTCTGGTTTCTGTACAAATGTCATTTTAATACAGCCCTGCTATTCTGCTTTCTTGTGTCTTGCAGGTGGGCCAAAAAGGGCCATATTATCAAAGAAGCATCAGGTGACTCTTATGAAGCCATTGTTGACTACACCTACTTTTTTGAACCCATCTCCTGTGAGGTGACAAATGCTTTGGGAAGTACCAACATCAGCAGGACAGTAGATGTCTACTGTGAGTATGGCTTGTCGTCCGAAACATCAGAGGCACCAACTGATAGGGTAAATGGCTCAGATTGGCTGCTTGCGGATTTGATTGCTGGCTGACTAATGGAAAACAGAGAGGAAATGTTGAAAACTTCTTAAAGTGAAGGGAAGTCAGTATTCCTACATGAGCGTGCCCAGTTTCAGCAAGCTACACTGATACAGAGTCCAGGAAGAGAGAGAAAAGGTGCAGTGGAAAAACCTGACAAATCCTTATGCATTTTGCATACTATTTTGTCAGGGGAACTGTAGAGCAGCAATCTCTCTGTATGTTTCCACATGCGTGAAACACATAGAGATCTGTATCTTTTAATGCCATCAAGTCACAGCTGACTTTTGGCGGCTCTGGGGAGTTTTCCAAGCAAGAGATGTTCAGAGGTGGTTTGCCATTGCCTGCCTCTCTGTTGTGACCCTGGCATTCCTTGGTGGTCTCCCTTCCAAATACTGAACAGGGCTGACCCTGCTTAGCTTCTGAGATCTGATGAGATCAGTCTAGCCTGGGCTGTCCAGGTCAGAGCTCTATAACTATAAAGGTAAAGGTAAAGGTTCCCTTGCTCAAAAGCCAGTCAAGTCCAACTCTAGGGTTGTGGTGCTCATCACCATTTCCAAGCCGAAGAGCCAGTGCTGTCCGAAGACGTTTCCGTGGTCATGTGGCCGGCATGACTAATCACCAAGGCGCACGGAACGCTGTTCCCTTCCCACCGAAGCGGTACCTATTTATCTACTTGCAATTTCTTGCTTTTGAACTGCTAGGTTGGCAGGAGCTGGAACTAGAGACAGGAGCTCACTCCGTCATGCGGCACACTCGGGTCTCGAACTGCTGAACTACGGACCTTCCACAGCCTGCAGTTCAGTGTCTTAACCACTTGTGCCACCGCAGCTCCATCTATAACTATATATAACTATAAATAAAATATATTTTCCTGCTGCCCCTTTTTCCCCCTCTCCCTGCACACAGTGTCATCCATGCTGGAAATGCCACTGAGGGGAAAACCTTAGTTGACTGCTGGAATGAATGAATGAATGAATGAATGAATGAATGAATGAATGAATGAATGAATGATGTGAATCAGCTTCCAGTTATGGAGTTATAGCTGTGATGGCTAGCCCCTAGGCTGCTGCTATCATCATCATCATAACATCATTTTATGGAATTGTGTATAGTATAGCCAGGAGATTCAGAGATTGCCTGGCAGCCTTAAGTTCCAGCTCATTAGCATCATGCACCACTAGTTGGTGAGCTAGACTTATTTTGGGAGCTGAGACTGCTCTGAAAGAGCTGTGACTGACCCAAGGTCACCCAGCTGGCTTCATGTGGAGGTGTGTGGAATTGAACCTGGCTCTCCAGATTAGACTTCATCGCTCTTAACCACTACACCACAGTGGCTCTCAGCCTCTAGGCAAGTGTCCACCATTCCATCCAAAGTGCACTAGTGCCATTGTAACATAACATCTGTGGTGCTGTCAACAGTCCCTTGATATGGTTCAGTCTACTGAGGAAGCAGTCCTAAGCATGTCAGCATTGAAAAAAGCCCCATTTTATTCAGTGGAGCTTGTTCTCGAGAAAGTCTTCTCCATATTCTAGCCAGAGTCTGCCTAGCAGCCACAATACATGACTCAGGGAGAAAGTCGCAGCATAGCCAATGTAGTGCAGTGGTTAGTGCATTGGGCTAGGATCTAGGAGACCCTGGTTCGAGTCCCCAGTCCCCCATGGAGGCTTGCTGGCTGAACTGGGGCCAGTTGCACTCTCTCAACCTAACCTGCCTCACAGGGAGGGTTGTTGGGAGGATACAGTGGAGAGGAGAATGTTGTAAGCCGCTTTGGATCTCCATTGGGGAGAAAAGTGAGGTATGAATAAAGTAAATAAAAACAGAAAAGCATGCAGGCATGTAGGCTTGCCTCTGTAGCATAATTACAAAATTACACATGGGATAGAGAAGGTGGAGAAAGAAGTACTTTTCTCCCTTTCTCCCAATATAAGAACTGGTGGGCACTCAATTATATTAGAACAGCTAAAAGGAAGTACTTTTTCACCCAAACAGTCCTTAACATGTGGAATTCATTGCCACATGATTGGACAAACATATGGAGCAGAGGTCCATCTGTGGCTATTAGCCATAAGGTATAGAGGGAACACTCTGTCTGGGGCAGTGATGCTCTGTATTCTTGATGCTTGGAGGGCAATAGTGGGAGGACCTCTGGACCTGCTAGAGGACCTCCTGATGGCACCTGGGTTTTGGTCACTGTGTGAAACAGAGTGTTGGACTGGATGGGCCATTTGGATGAACCATTGGCCTGATCTAACATGGCTTCTCTTATGTTCTTAATTAGTCCCACAGGTCCTCTTGCTTTTTAGCTGGACATGCCACAAACGTCCTCTGCACGTACCATTTATGTCACCCCCCTGCAAGCTGTCTACCCGGGAGTTCTACAGGCTGCCATCTTAAGGAGACTTCCTTGGGAGTAAGCCATGTTGAATAACATGGGACTTACTTCCAAGTAGACCTGCAGAGGGTTGCTCCTATAGCCATTAAGTGCAATTAAGAGCATTAAGAGTTCTACAGGCTGCCATCTTAAGGACACTTCCTTGGGAGTAAGCCACATTGAATAACATCGGACTTACTTCCAAGTAGACCTGCAGAGGGTTGCTCCTATAGCCATTACGTGCAAGAGTCTAATGCCCTTTCCCAGAATCACAGAGACCTGGTGTTCGAGAATTACAGGACCAATGCTGCAAGCCTCATGGTGGAAAGATTAGCACTTCCCTAAATTTCATGCCTATTGATGCCTATGAGAGAGTTAAACTCTCCATGGATCAGGCTCCCTGCTACCATTTCTCCCTCCAGCCAAAGGTCTAGGACACAGTAAGGGAAAGAACCACATCCAGCAGAGACAGAAACTCCCAGGGAGCAGCTCCTGCCGAGCACAGGCTGTGCTAAGATCCTTGCAATTCAGCGCAGTGTTGCGCGGGAGGGTGCCAGCTCCAGAGGCCGTGTTTATTGCTTTGAAAGTAAAGATTTCTCACTTCAACATGTTGACACCACCCTTGGTGCTCCGATGCTCCCTTATCCTACTTCCTTCTGTGAAACTGAAGAATAGTAGAATTGCTGAGACCCTTTTCTGTGATTATCTCTTCTTACAGTTGGGCCACGGATGATGTCAGAGCCACAGTCTCTCCTTGTCGACCTCGGATCAGACGCCGTATTTAACTGTGCCTGGATCGGAAATCCATCCCTGACCATCGTTTGGATGAAGCGGGGCTCGGGTGTGGTAAGGAAGCAGGATAGCTGTGCTGTGGACTGGGAGCAAATGTTAAGGAAGAGCTGCGTGCTCGCAAAGCCAGGGCTCTCGGCAACTCGGGATGGGTGGGATGTGCATGAGAACGGCTTTGTATGCATTGCCTAGATCACCTTGGCCTTATATCTGTTGTAGGCGCTGGGTCAGATCCCTGCAATGATATGAACTTCCCTGCCTCTCTGATCTTGCCGAAGCCCACTGCTTTCTCTGAAATGCTGCTCTGGGGGGGACATGGGACCCTAAGAGCAGCACGGGGGCATATCAGAGATCTGTGGCAGGAGGGAAGAACTGGAAAAAAAACCTTAGCATCTTCCACTAGTGGAAATTAATGTTAGGATCAGTGTTCCCTCTAAGCTGAGTTAGTGTGAGCTTGCTCATAGTTTTTTAGCCTCCAGATCACACACTTCTGTCTTCTCTCAGGAAGGATGGCTCCAGAGCAAATTGATTTATGCAGTAGCCAAATCACTCGCTCACAACTTTAATGCCAGTAGCTCACAAAGTAGAATTTTTGCTTACAGGATTCCACAGCTTAGAGGGTGCATTGGTTGGGATCCAGCCATGTTCAGTCCCTGATACCTCTTGTTAAAGGATCTCGAGGAGTTATTGTTGGTAACCACCTTTCTGGACCTGAGACCCTGGAGTCAGTCAGGGCTAGCTGGACCGATGGTAAAAGGCAGCTTCGTCTATTCAAGAGCAGCCAGAGATGGTTGGGGAAAGTACTCCGTGGTTTAAAAGAAGAGGAGGGAAATTTGAGGTCAAGGAGTCATCTGTGGGGGGGGGGGGGGGGGGGGGAGGATGGGTTTTCCGTGACATTCTCAGCACTTTCCACATTCTTGCGCTCAAAGGTGAGCTTTGCAAGGGAGTCCTAATAGAAGACAAATTGATTTCCATTATGAGCAGCGTTGAGGGCTAACGAAAGGCCAAAGCTTCACTTAACCTCCTTGTGGCAGGAGAAACTTTATAAACCGACGCCGAGCAGATTCTGTCTGCGAGCACTCCTCCCAGCTTTCGGAGAGCCACGGCTAATGCTGAAGGGCAAAGAATCTGAAGGTCTCTGTATCTGTTCTCAGAAACATACCTAAACGGTGGAACCATTGCAGCATAGTGCCAGAGAGACTTGCCTCATGATCCGGGAGGCCCTGCTTTGCATCTCACCTTGACCACCCGTGCAGTAGTCGAAGGCAAGCTGCTTCCCTTCTGAACGGCAGTCAAATCTCTACAATGTAAAAATAATAATGCTTGTCCACTTTGTAAGGCTGTTTTAAGGATTATTAAGGACAAGATGGGGTGAGCTCCTATCTCTAGTTCCAGCTCCTGCCAACCTAGCAGTTCGAAAGCAAGAAATTGCAAGTAGATAAATAGGGACCACTTCGGTGGGAAGGTAACAGCGTTCCGTGCGCCTTGGTGTTTAGTCATGCCAGCCACATGACCACGGAAACATCGTCGGACAGCGCTGGCTCTTCGGCTTTGAAACGGAGATGAGCACCGCAACCCTAGAGTCGGATTCGACTGGCTTTCGAGCAAGGGAACCTTTACCTTTACTTTACCTCTAAGGATTACAAGAAGATAACGTGTCTAAAGTGCTTTGAATGCTATAAATGTCAGGTTTTATTTTGATTAACTGTGGGCTTAAGAGGTTGTAGTGTTTCTGTCCAGTACAACCCTATGAAGCTAAGATGTTCTCAATTATTCCTTTAAGAAATACAGAAGCCCCATAAAATAAGAGAGAACTGTCAATGCTATGGCATTTCTAAAAGCGTTCAAAGGAGGTTAATATTGTAGTTGTGCAACAGGCATAACTTCCCTCTGGATTCATTTTCTTACACCTGGCCCATCTCTATTCCTTGCTGACTGCAGCATACTTTGAGGATGCATCTGTGTTGATTACAGCGGACTGAGCTTTTCCATCCATGAAATGCAAAACTTTTCAGTGGAGTTGGTTTACATGTGCAGCTGCCTGTAAACAGCAGCCACATCTTCACATGGAGCACAACTCCATAATGCAGTGTAACGTCAAGGACTGAATGTTTCAGTGGACTGAAGACTCCAAAACCCATGATCCATGCAATCACAAGCAAAAAATGCATATGTAACTGTAGCTGGGAGCCAGACTGAACCAAAAATATTGAGTCAGCAGTAAATAATATGAGCACTCGCAAAACCAATAGAAATTATTACTAAGTTGTCACTGGAGACTCATAAGGTTGAACTAAGATTTGCCATTCTTATGAGCACTAAATCCCTTCTTTGCAGTACTTGAGCCACATTCAAGTATATACTTTAGTCAGGCATATCCATTTCCCTTTCTCTGTCTGGGTATGTAAGAACACCCCACACACACATGCACACACAGTGGAATACAAAATTAACTAGAGCATTAGATTATGGGCAAGTTGATTTGGGAGATCTTGTCAAGAAAAAAATAATTATTTTACATCACATCGCACTTCCAATGCAGAGCAGAGATATTTGGGGAGCACTAAACAGGGGCCTCCATCCTGGACATGATTTCTTTTTCTGGGTTCTGTTTCTCCAGTCTCCTCTCTGACCTCTCCCCTCCTCTACCTCTAGTATTACTAGAGGCCATGCTTTAGCCCATCTATATTTTGATTGTAAATGTGTTGTCGAAGGCTTTGACGGCCGGAGTTCATTAGCTGTTGTAGATTTTCCAGGCTGCATGGCCATGGTTTTGGCACTGTAGTACCTGATGTTCATATGAACTCATGAAACTGCCTTATACTGAGTCAGACCAGTAGGGATGGAGGTCCATCTTGTCTTTTGTATCACCTACTAAAAGTAAAGGTAAAGGTTCCCTTGCTCGAAAGTCAGTCGAATCCGACTCTAGGGTTGCGGTGCTCATCTCCGTTTCAAAGCCGAAGAGCCAGCGCTGTCCGAAGACATTTCCATGGTCATGTGGCCGGCATGACTAAACACCAAGGCGCACGGAACGCTGTTACCTTCCCACCGAGGTGGTACCTATTTATCTACTTGCAATTTCTTGCTTTCGAACGGCTAGGTTGGCAGGAGCTGGAACTAGAGACGGGAGCTCACTCCGTCATGTGGCACCCGGGTCTCGAACTGCTGAGCTACTGATCTTCCACAGCCTGCAGTTCAGCGTCTTAACCACTTGAGCCACCGCAGCTCCGTATCACCTACTACTTGTTCCTTTTAACTGAAGATGCGAAGGACTGAACCTGGGACCTTCTACATGCCAAGCAGTGAGCCATAACTGTCCCTTTCAAGAAGGAGGAGGATGCCTTTGAGATTAACTAGCAAGGATGTGCTTCCCAACCATGTGTGGGCCATCCAAATGATGCCTGTGACATTAGTTCCACTAGGTACCTCATCTCCCAGCTCTCCACCCAGTTCAGCACCATGGACAGCTGCCAACCTTATCTAACAACAAGTCAGCCGGTCTCTACGGCTTCCTGTGCCTCAGCATCTTGGGTTCCGATTGAACCTTTTACATTTTAAGCTGTTATTCCTTTAGGATCACCTGACATCCTCTTACCTTCTTCAACTGGTAGCAGGGAGCTTGTCAAATGAAAAGTTAAACTTCCCCTCACTTTTTGCATTCTGCGAGTGCAGCAGAGAGCCACCCCTATCTGTGGCTCTCATCTGCTTTGTTTCTTTCATCAGCTGAATCATCCTTTTCTGTCTTTCCTTCTAGACCTTGGGCAGATCAAGGAAGAAGGAAGACTTTTTAGGAGTCAGGAGGAGTTACAAATGACTTGTCTCGGAAAGGCAACTGTACATTCTTTCATGCCTTTAGCTCCCTCTAGCTGACAAATGGCTGGGCTGTGCAACTCCAGGGCCCACATCACTCTAGACAAGATTACAGGCCACGAGGAAATGATAGAGATATTAGCATTGATTCATTTCTGCCATGGAAAACCTCTCCAAAAAGCCATGCTTCTTCAAGAGCACCAGCTAGCTCTTAGCTCCGATGATGAAATACTATATCCATGCTTCAAACCTCGCTGTTCTGTGAGGACAGCCTGCCTCTGTGTTCCTTTTCCTGAAGCAATATGGTTCCTCACAGATCAGGGCATTTTCCATCCAACCACTTACAAAAAACCTCAGGCTCAAAGCCTCCACAATCTTGTAGTCTGCTCATTTGCCAAGGGCAGTTCCTAAAAATGTAACCAAGAAGGCTTTTTCCTTCACAATGCGCTGCTTCGCTTATGCATTCTGTGACATCACTGTGCCACATCAGCAGCAGTCAAGAAGTGTGAGCAGGAGTAGAAAAACACGACTTGTGGTGATGTCACAACATGGACAAGTGTGACTCAGTGACACAGAGGAGAGAGCAGTACCCAACATTTCGGAAGCCCCATCTCAGCCATAATGTGTAGCTCTGATACTTAGGATCCATCCAGTTCATGACTGATTGGAGGTGGGCGGGTTGTAAATAGGATATAATAACCACAGTTGGATTCTTCTAGTACATGTTAGCAGACCGTAGACCTTCCAGGACTGATTAGCTAATGTATAGATGACTGTTTCCTACATATTCATGTGAGCTCATGGGTACATGTGATATGAGGCAGCAAGTGTCATAATATGTTTATTTCACTCATATTCTGGCTTTTCCTAGATCTGGATGGCCAAGGCTACCCTGATCTCACCAGATCTCAGAAGCTTGGCTAGTACTTAGATGGGAGTCCATCAAGGAAGTCCAGGGTTGCTCTGCAGAAGCAAGCAATGCCCAACCACTTCTGTCCACGTCTTGCTTTGAAAACCCTGTGGAGATTGGCATAAGTTGGCTGCAACTTGGTGGCACTTTCTGCCACCATCCTGCCTTTCTTCTATGGAATTCAAGGTTTTGAGATGTATTTGGGGTTCCCAGGAGGTTTTCCATCCAGGCAGTGATCAGACCTTGCTTAGCTTATGCAAGGTTGCTGGATCATAAGTCCTAGAATCATATCCCCAGGATATGACTAGCAGCAATTCCTATGACTGTGGACACATGAGAAAGTTCTACACATATCCATCTTGGCCTGGTTTATTTTTTTCCCTCTCGATGTTTAAAATGTCTGTGCTGCTTTTCTGCCCTGTGCAGTACTCAAAATGGCTTACAGGAAATAATAACCCCCCAAATGCAGCATCCATAAAATGGACCTGAAGCAACAGAATAAAATTGGGTTTTTTTTGTCTATATAGATTCCACAGTTTGGCACTGGTGGAGCAGGGGTCAAAAGGGGCCTTCCTTTCCTCTTGTGCTAGTGGGGAAGCTGGTAGGACCCAACCAGAATTTTTTCAGCATCTTGCTTAGTTTGCAAGGACAGGGACTCTCTCCCCAATCAGATAAAGTTTGGAATAATCCTACAATAATCATTAGCCATGCTGCCATCATTGCCTGTGTCTGCCTGTGTCACACATGGCAATGTTCATGTGAACACATAGCAGATGATGGTTGGGATTGTTCGTGTGGGGCCAGCTATGCCATGTGAGCCCAGTTCCATGGTGATTTTGGAGGTTCAGTGGTTCCTCCAAACAGAGTGGTTTCAACATGAGCTACCTTTGCAGTATGTCTAAGGACTGCAAGTGTTTTGCTAAGCATCCGTGCAAATTCCCAGAATGAGCAGAGGAATTGGCTGCAAGATCAGACGTGCAGCAGGGCCAATAACTAACGTGCTGGATTGTGTTTACATAGCAAATACATGCCAGAAGGGCAAAAGGAAGCAGGCCTGTAGGGACGCCGTCCAAATGTCTGCAAGAGATGGATGACAGATGCCTCCTCATTGCCCTGTGCAGAGAAAGGTGAAGGGACAAGCTCATGCACTATGCAAATTCCAACACTGGAAGTTAATGCCTGTCTACTTTTGCTGCAGATAGACCTTGACAGCTCTGGTGGTATAGATGGAAAATTAGCCATTGAGCTTCGACTGCTCCTGCAGGCAATTAGAAGGACTTGACTTTAAAAGGCCATATTTGTTTTAGACTCATCATATTTCCAAATACCACAGGAGCCTGGATTTTGCTGACTGGCTTGCATTGAAGTTCCCTTGCTTCAGCAGTTAGGAAGTTTTACTAAAGCTGTTGATTGCATTGGTGTGGGCGAGAGGGCTTTGCGTCGGGTACTGTGCATTTCGGCAGGGTCAAAGAGGCAGGGAGCCAAACCAACTTCAGCCGTGGCCAAAATGTCTCTACAGGACAAGGAGGATACCGAGTGCATATCATCTCCCCCTCCTTGAATCTATGCAGCTGAGTGCTGCTTTTCCAGTTACACTGTCTGATCATCACACCTATGTCTGAAGTCGCAGAGACAATGGTGAAAAACGGAATACGAAAGGATCTTTGGGTCATATTTGTTGTTGGGTCTACAGTACCAGGGTAAAGCTAGACATGATGAGTCTGGCAACCCTGGCTGCCAGTTTCCAAGCTCAGAGTGGGAAGGGTACAAGGTGGCAGGGGAGAAGCGGTAGACAGAGGGGCTTAACCCTTACCTCTTTTTGCCATCAAGTTGCAGCCAACTTATGGTGACCCCTTTGGTTTTTCAAGGTAAGAGATGTTCCGGGCTGGTTTGCCATCGCCTGCCTCTGTGTAGCAACCCTGGATGTCCTTGGCGGTCTCCCATGCAAGTACTAAGCAGGGCTGACCCTGCTGAGCATCTGAGATCTGACAAGATCAGGCTAGCCTGGACCATTCAGGCGGAGGCAACCCTTCCCTTTCCCCTATGCTGGGGATTATTAGGAAGGGTATTGTAAACAGATCAGCCAATATCATAATGCCGCTATATAAATCAATGGTGCGACCTCATCTGGAATACTGTGTGCAAATAGATTCTTTTGAACTATGGTGCTGGAGAAGACTCTTGAGAGTCCCTTGGACTGCAAGGAGATTGAATCAGTCAATTTCCCTATGAGGAAAGGTTAAGGCGCTTAGGGCTCTTTAGCTTGGAGAAACGACGACTGAGGGGTGACATGATTGAGGTTTATAAGACTATGCATGGGAAAGAGCAGGTAGAGAAAGAGGTACTTTTCTCCCTTTCTCACAATACAAGAACTCGTGGGCACTCCATGAAATTGCTGAGTGGTCAGGTTAGAACGGATAAAAGGAAGTACTTCTTCACCCAAAGAGTGATTAACACATGGAATTCACTGCCACAGGAGGTGGTGGCACCTACAAGCATGGATGGCTTCAAAAGGGAATTAGATAAGCATATGGAGCAGAGGTCCATCAGTGGCTATTAGCCACAAGGTATAGATAGGGGCTCTGGGGCAAGTGATGCTCTGTCTTCTTGGTGCTTGGGGGGGGGTCAACAGTGGGAGGGGTTCTAATGTCCTGGCCCCACTGGTGGACCTCCTGATGGCACTGGTATTTCTGGCCACTGTGTGACACAGAGTGTTGGACTGGATGGGCCTTTGGCCTGATCCAACATTGGCATCTCTTATGTTCTTATGTTCCCTTTGCAACACCACCTCCTGGGTATCCAGTTCCATGTTGGCTACAGGGGGGGGGCACTGTGGTTGGACTTGGGAGCTTTGAACCGGGGTCTTAACTAGTCACTCACCCATAAAGTGTTGTGAGTAGTCTTGTGCCATCCTCCATTCCCCTTCCTTGGAGGAAGAAAAAGATAAAAATGTGACTGAAAGATCAGTGACCATTTATTCATCGTGGTTTGTTTTCTTAACCCCACTTTCCTATTACAGCAACTGCTTTAAAAAACAACAAGAAAAGCGCAGACAAATACCATTTGTCACCAGTAAAACTCAAATGCTGGCCAAACAACAGGCAAACAAATAGCAATGATTTTGCCCCCCACTTTCCTATTACAGCAACTGCTTTTAAAAAAAACAAACAAGAAAAGCACAGACAAATACCATTTGTCACCAATAAAATTCAAATGCTGGCCAAACAACAGGCAAACAAATAGCAATGATTTTGCCTGGCATACGAGGATAATGGTGGATGTGTTGGTGGCACTATGGGAAATACACGAGACTGTGCCAAAGAAGTGCATGTTTTTAGCAAGTGGAGGACACCTCTAAAAAGGGACTGTTCTGAGGAACTAAGGTGGTATGCAGGTTCATAGAATCAATGGGTTGAACTTAATTGGAAACTCCAGTGAGTCCTGAACCCTGCCAGGCTGTATGGGAGAAGCAATTATGTAGACTCATACATTACTATAGTGGCAGTGGAGGGAGATGAGAGAAGAAGGGGAACAAAAAACCATTCCAGGTAAAGCCCAGTTAAACAAGGACAGGAACAGAGCCTTGCCAAAGACAAGACAAGCCAGACAGTTAAACTTAAAACTAGGATTTCTGGTTTTTATCACTGGAACAGGTCTGTTTTCACCGCTAATTTCTCTGGAACAGAATCCACTGGCTCCATGTGACTTGATGTTCATTGAGCCGTCTTGTTATTTCTACATCTGGGCACTGGTAGGTAAGCCCTGTAAATCTGGGAATATGTGAAATCTGACTCTTGGAGCAAACTGTTTTTCCTCTTTTCCAGGTCCTGAGCAATGAGAACACGTTAACCCTGAAAAATGTCCGGCAAGAGGATGCTGGGAAATATGTGTGCCGAGCAGTCGTGCCCCGTGTGGGTGCTGGAGAACGGGAAGTGTCCCTGACTGTCAACGGTATCTAACCTCAGATTTCTCTATTAAGATGCCACTTTACTATCCCTTTTTTAATGCAGAGTTTTCTTTGTTAGCAAATCTTCCAAGTACACATATTGTTTATTAGAACTACAGTTCCTGGGCTACCAGAACCAGGGGTCATGATACCAAAAACAGGTATGAGTGGTTTCGATGTAAGGTCTGGATATGCTGTTTGTTCCACGTGTTATGATGCAAAGTCAAGGGCAGGGCGCAGGATTCCCATTCCTCCATCTAGGCTCTGCCATACGTTATGAAGGCAGAGCAAAGCTCTTTCTGGGACTGTCGGAACAGCATATGAATTTTCATGCGGCTTACCCCCTGTACGCAGTCCTCAAGGCCCCCTCAAAATCCGTTTGTGTTGATGAACAGCAAAATGCGGGGAATGCAACGCAGGCATCAGCACAATTTAATTGTAAATGCAGATTATGCTGAAGAGAGAAGCCAAGGGCAACCCAGCAGGGCCATTGAAGATCTACCAGTCCCTAGCCTTCCCATGAAGCTCATTGTCTCCTGCATTTCTCCCTCCCTGTTGGCTGCCGCAGTTTAATTACAATTCAAATAGCTTGCAGAAAACAAAGGAAGACATTAGATGAGAACAAAGAACCTGGCTTCCCCCACCTCCAGCACAATTTTTAAAAACCCTCCAAATTCTGAAGTATAGGAATAAATGGTTGAAGTGCTGTGTTTAGAGCAAGAAAGAAGGTGGGGACATTCCCTTGCATCCACAAAATGATAGGTCAACTTTATACTTTTTCAGTAGCTACTTTCGGGGGTGTCCAACTGTGCACACCAGGAGGACACACTAACTGCCATCCTCCTGATACATACAGTCACCATTTAATCAAAAATGAGCACCAGGCATGGCTTCTGCTTCATAGGTTCTAAAGTAGAAAATACAAGTGATGATCACTAGGCGTATCAGAAGGATCACTGGTGGTGTGCACTCCCAGTAGATATGGCTGGATGTCCCCCAAAGTAACACCGACAAAGGTCCTCCGCTATGGCAGAAACTGACAAAAGAACAAAGGAAACAAATCCTTTTAGGAGAGTGATGCTGTTAGGCTCTTGGGTTTGGGGGGCTTCCAAGAATATGGCATCACTAAGTTGGCAGGCAAATAAGGACACGGGGAAACCCAGATCCATCACACTTTCCTCCAGCATGATCAATGTATTAATAATGTCTACTTTATAGCAAGCACCTGCTGTTAATAATTCTGTAAATCTTCATTGCCATTCATGTGCAAGGTGCTGTACAAAACTGAAATAATCCCCACCCATGGGATGCATCCCTTCAGCCTTCGGAGAGGAGGAGATGATGGAAGAAATCAGAAATTGATAATGGATATAGATAGGGGAGAGTCAGGTGTTAGGAGATGTATGTGTATGTATGTGTGTGTGTATGGCAAGCCTAAGCAGATTTAGTCAGAAGGAAGCCTCACTGAGCTCGCTGGAGCTTACTCCCTAGTAAATATATTTCGGATTGCAGTCTTATTTAAAATATTTTTATCCTACCTCTTTGTTGGAAAAGGGGCCCTCGTTGGCCCCTTTTATTTTACCTCATTTATTTATACCCTGTTTTTCTCCCCAATCTAAACCTGAAGCAACTTAAATTGTTCTGTGTGTGTAAAGTGCTGTCAAGTCGCAGACGAGTTTGGGTTTTCAGGGCCAGAGATGAGCAGAGGTGGTTTGCCGTTGCCTTCCTCTGTACTTGACTTGGACTTGGTGGTCTCCCATCCAAGTACTCACCTGGCCCAACCCTGCTTAGCTTCTGAGATCTGTATGGGCTATATCTTTCTACTCCTCTCCATTTTATCTTACCTGATAACTCTGTCAGGTAGGTTAGACTGAAACGTGTGACTGGCACAAGATCACCCAGCAAGCTTCCCCGGCAGAGCAGCGACTTGAACTTGGGTCTCCTGGATCCTAGTCTGACACACTAACCACTATACCACACTGGATCTCAGTGCTTGGGAATTTGAAAAGCAGAGTGCTGCCATCTAAGACGTGTCTTGCTCTAAAAAGGGATGCTGGACCTCCATATAGAAAAGAGATGTCATGGAGAGCACTGGCAAGATGTTGTGAAGCAAGGGCTCCAGTACATTCCTTCTCTTATGCCACTTAATATGAACAAGATCCTCAACAAAAGAAAGACTATCGGAGTTGCTTGTGCTACCTACAGCCAAGGCCCAGATAATGAGAGTGTTGCAGAAAGAGGATCCTCAGGAACGCTGTAACACCTTCTCATTGGCTGGGTCAAGAACGTCCAGCCTGCTGGAGACTAAGACCACCTTTGGTTTTCATTAGGGTCGCAGTTTCGCTCAGACTTTCACAGGTAGCTTTTATTTTCTCAAGCACAATGGTGACGGTTGGATTCTGGCGCACTCAGCCTCCAGAAACTAACAAAGTTTGCTTTGCCGTGCAATCACAGTTCCTTTTGTTAACCCCATTGTCTGGCGTCTGGGATAAGAACTGGAAGAGAAGGATTCCAGATAGAGGGCCGGCCTGATGAGATTACCTGCCACAAATTGGTTTGTGCTGTATTTCTCGTTCCAGGCAATCAGTCATTTATCCTTATTATTACATTGGAGAGGGCCTGTCGTGTGATAAGATCGCCTCTGCACATCCTGTCTGAGGGCAAGTGCCTCTTATCGGGACTGGCTGCGGCCAGAATAGAAAAAGGTTTTACTTATAAGATGCAGAGATATATTTTATTTCCACCCAGGCAGGTGATTTTCTCTGTCCCCCAGCCAGGTTTTGTCATATAAGGAAAATGCTAGGTCCAAATGTATGAATCTCACAGCTTAGCACTCAGGGCCCTCTGTCCTTAGCAAAAAGGACAGCCCCACAATAAACCGAACATTCAGGAACTGACAAAAAGCAAGGTTTCTTTTTTATTGTGGCCATGGTTGAGAATCTCTTTAACAAGTTGTGTCGGACAGTAAATGGTTAATGCTGTAACCTGGTTTGAGAACCTTGTGTGACAGGGGATTCAAATGGAATTCTTCAGTTGAGAGTGTCAGTTTGGAGTTGGGAGTTGACAGTTAACAGTGAGAGAGTGAAGCAGACTGTGAGAGGATCAAGAAGGTTCCTGAGTTAGGGAAGTGGAACACATAGTCCATCCCTATCAAGTCTGGGGGAAATAGCTCCTTGAAGGCAGGAGTGATCCCTAGCCAGTAGATAAGGAAGGAAACTGAAACTTGTGTGAATGTTCCTGCCTTCACCAACTTTAGTGTCTGTGAGACCAAGAAGCTTATGCTTGTTTATGTAAGCAGAGACTGCCAAGAAATCTTGTTCCTCAAGTTTTAAAGACATGTTTGAATAACAGAAACAGTTACTTGTTTGTGACAAATTATCTGGAGTTTATCTTTATACAAAGTTGTCTCATTCCTGTTGCTTGTTCACTACATAAGTTCTAAACCTGATTCCTACCTGACCATTTCCCCTCAAAGTGAAATAAAACATTTTGTTAGTTTTGATTTACCATCAGCCTCTCATGCACCATTGTAAAACAAAGACAAAAGAACGATTTTAGTCTTCCCCCTCAGTTCCCTAGGCTGGGTCAGCATTTACTAATATACATTCAAACAACTGGGTGGGACAGCCAGAGAAAAACAAAGAAGGAAGAGCTAAGAACAATATAAAGAGAAATCCTATGAGGGACAGCAAAATCATCATTCCAGTGGAAAAAATGTATCTGTTGGAACTGCCTCTGAAGGTAACTGAGGTAATCTTTCTGTCCCCACATGGTACTTAGAAGACTTAGTTTTTTAGAACAAGCCACAATTTGTGACAAGATTTTGATTGTGTGAAAGAACAAACTTTCATTCAGTTACCTAAAACCCAGGATTCTAAACCAGAACATCTTCATTCAGTCTCCGAAACACGTGCAAGGAAAAAGAGGGAGACTGGGAGAGCCTCCATGACTTGTTCTCGTCCCAAACAGAGGTTGATTGGTGATGTCTGAATGCAGTTGGTATCTACATGGCATGATGACAGTAAAATCAGAAACAGATTCAGCCCCTTGGCCATCTTTGCCCCCAACATTGCTAGTTTGTATTCATTTTGAAATAGCCTCATGGATACTGCAGATTAGAATGTTTAGAAATGCAACCAAATTCGACTTGGAGGGAGGGCATTCTGAGGGAAGTCAAAAGAGTTTTGCTAAAACTAGCAAAATGTCTCAAGGAATACTGTGACTACACACTGGATGTGGAAAAAATGTATCTGTTGGAACTGCCCCTGAAGGTAACTGAGGTAATCTTTCTGTCCCCACATGGTACTTAGAAGACTTAGTTTTTTAGAACAAGCCACAATTTGTGACAAGATTTTGATTGTGTGAAAGAACAAACTTTCATTCAGTTACCTAAAACCCAGGATTCTAAACCAGAACATCTTCATTCAGTCTCCGGAACACGTGCAAGGAAAAAGAGGGAGACTGGGAGAGCCTCCATGACTTGTTCTCGTCCCAAACAGAGGTTGATTGGTGATGTCTGAATGCAGTTGGTATCTACATGGCATGATGACAGTAAAATCAGAAACAGATTCAGCCCCTTGGCCATCTTTGCCCCCAACATTGCTAGTTTGTATTCATTTTGAAATAGCCTCATGGATACTGCAGATTAGAATGTTTAGAAATGCAACCAAATTCGACTTGGAGGGAGGGCATTCTGAGGGAAGTCAAAAGAGTTTTGCTAAAACTAGCAAAATGTCTCAAGGAATACTGTGACTACACACTGGATTTTCTCTGTGGTAATTTGGGGTACTTCCCCAGGTGAAGTATCTGAAGAATGCTAAGTTAGCAATGAGCGAATATCCCCGTTTCTCAACCTGAAAGTGCTCACATTTGTTGAGTACTCAGAAATTCTTGACAGCCATTTGTGAGGGCTCAGTGGACTTTCAAACTGCACACATGCATGCACAAACACACACCCTTTCAAATGGAGTAACGGTTTATTCAGTCAGAGCTTAGCAATTAGAGCATAAGGAT